CCAAACAAACAGAACGCAATTCAAACCGCACTGAAGATGTCCCCCCAAACGGAGATGGAACGTTTGCAACCTAATTACCAAGCCCAGAAATCAAACCAACAGCCCAGCTACCAACCCGAGCTACTAATATTCAAACACATCTCAACATATACATATATACATATATATACATATACATACACACACACACACACACACACACATATATAGATATATCCCACCTTTATTATTTTAACAGATAACTCAAGGTGGCAAACATATCCCACACACCTTCCTCCTCCTATTTTCCCCTCAACAACAATCCTGTGAGATGAGTTGGGCTGAGAGAGAGAGAGTAATAATAATAAAGTTGGAAGGGACCTTGGAGGTCATCTAGTCCAACCCCCTGCTCAGGCAGGAAACCCTATACCATTTCGGACAAATGGCTGTCCAGTCTCTTCTTAAAAACTTCCAGTGTTGCAGCATTCACCATTTCTGGAGGCAGGTTGTTCCACTGGTTAATTGTTCTAATTGTCAGGAGTGACTGGGCCAAGAGCAACCAGCTTAAAGTGGGACTTGAATTCATGGTCTCTTGCTTTCTAACTTGGCATCTTAACCACTAGATCAGAGTGGCTCTGTTGTTAATATGTTGAAGGTTAGTATGTTGTATAAACCCAGTCACTGGATCTACATTCAAAATGCAGTGTTCTCTGACTCGATGTTCTCCAGATGTGCTGGAAACACAACTCCTAGCCAGAATATTACTTCACAATCAAATAACACCAACCAACGTGGGGACGTCTGAACTCCTGCTATAAATAAATCAGTAGATTCAGCGGTTATGGATACATCCCAAAGGAATACTATTGTTTTGTTTCTGCCTGCCTCCCTTCCTATTCAGGCTTTTTCTTTCTCCTAAGTGCCATTAATATAAACCAAGGAATAGAACTACAAAAACAATTCTTACCCTTTAATTCTGCGCATGTGCAACATCTGGTTTTTAAACTTCACAGATAACCTTTTGCAATGCCAGTTCTGAAATGGCAGGCTCCATCTTTCATGAAATTTATCAACTCTCTGCCTAAGAACTAATTAATTTCTATATTTTCTATTCCATAGTCTGGTATCTGATAGTAAGAATAAATAAAAGAGTGACAGAATGAAATCTATCTCTGGGAAGATAGGACATTAGAAAGGGTCAGATTTCAGAAGTTGTAGCCAAATCAAAGCTTCAATAATTTATTTTGTTCCTGCATCTATGTATCTAGCTTCTTTTGACAGGTTTCTGACAATGAATCCTTCAGTGGCTTAACTATTTTTCAGAAGCCAGGTTATTATCATCCTTCCTATTACTGTTAGAAGAAAGTCTAAATCTAGTAAATAAAAAAAACTAACAATGACCGAAGTATTTTGTCTTTCTTAGGATAATTTTAAAAAATTAATGCTAACCACAACAAGTGATGATATACATAAAATGAATCAAGAGAAATAGACCAGGTATGCATTCTTAATTTTCTCCAACGATCAACTAAAATATTCATAGCACTTCAAATGCATTGCCTTGACAACCACCTAAGAAAATTAAAGAGAAGCCTCTCTTCCTGAATTATCACTCTAAAAATCTCACACTTGTTATTTCCATTTCCTTTGGAAGCTTGATATACTGAACACACTCTTATGTCAGGGAAACTATCCTGCTTAGTCCCCAACTCATTTGAACATTTCTATGCCATTCCCTATATTAAATAAACCACAGTAATATTCTAAGCCTAATAAACATATTTATGGCTTCGCCCCCAGCATAATCTGTGAATTTAACACTATTTTGAGAGAGCAAAGTGATTTTGAGGACTGCCTCAACTTTAACATGAGCAGTAGAAATTAAACATGTGTCATTTCTCCAGGCACTTAAAAAAATATGTATTTATTTAAAAGTAATGCATTCTGTCATTAAATTCACATGACAGAATTTTCTGGCTCTTAAATTATCAGAACATTGTTATAAAAATTAGAAAGCAGATAAAAGATAGCTACGCTTATACACTCACATATTCCTGTTACAGAAGCTATGAAGTGAGGCTTACTTCTTAAACAAAGGGAATCCACTGCTCAGACATCAGAGTAGAAACTTTTAAAACTGGCACACACTCTAGTGGTAAATTCCAGTCTTTACAACCCTCCCAAAGCTGAAACAAAGCTGTAGTTGTTACCTTCTCTTCATAATTTGGCAGCATATCTTTGCTTATCGTTACTATATCCATCCACGAATACTTCTTCTCCTTACGAATTTTTGCTAATTCTGGGTCAGTCTCGTAGTTGTCAGCATCCAGCTACAAAATGAAAAAAGGACTGTCTTGGTTCATTTATTCAAAACAAGGTAACCGGCATTCTGGTGTACAAGGAAATTAAGTTCTCTCTAAAGCATTTTTTTCATGCTGAATTGAAGAAGAAATAGGGCTAAAAATGGCTTGTTTAAATATGATTATGCTTCACACACAATTAAAAATTGGGTCACCTATGGCTCGGCACAACTAACAAGATTTTGCAATCATAATAGTTTACATCTATTTATTGCCAGGAGACTTTCCAAAGATTTAACATGCAACCTTGCAACTTTCTTCTCTTGAAAGCTCACCATTGTTTCTTTAAGAAGGGATGAAACATTTGTCAAAAAAATAAAAAAGTGATCAAGAAAAAAGGTGGAATATTCAGTTTGTTTAGATAACCAAGTGTTTTTCATCGTTTTGTAACTCTTGAGGTTGATACAGCACAATACTAATTCAGTAAAGTAAAACTGTCCTAATTATTTCCTTTGGATAAATAATTTTAACCACAGATGCATGCATGGACTCTTCCAAGTCATGCAAAGCATCAGTTTTCCTGATTCGGTGAGCATTCATGTACTGATATATTATCCCACAATTCTGCAAATAACCCCATCACATCAGCCTAATCATATGAATGGATACACCTTGGCTTCAGAAGAATCCCACAATTTAAACATTAATCTAAGTAAGTACATGGATCAAGGATCATCAGAATTGCTTATTTAAAGGATAAAGCCTCTTCAGAGATTAGCAATAATATTATTTTCTAGATCATTTTGGTTCTTCAGAAATAAGATTATGACAAAGCCGGCTTTGTAATGTCATCATTAAGTTTTCCAGAGAAGGGAAAACAGCTACCTCAAGAGTTTTAAACCCTTGCAGACTTCTGGTTTGATGTCGCGGTGTGATGGATGCAGGAAGATGGGGCTCCATTTTCCACGTTTGATTTTGCCCCGCTGGGGACCCTAAAAAGGATCGAAAGTTGCCCCGGAGAGGTGACGAAGAAGGAGGGGACCCACTTTGATCACGGAGGGGTGGCATCCCTTCCGTTTGATCCGAGGAAGCCCTCCAAACCGGCAGGGGGAAAGACTGGCTACATTCATGTAGTCAGTCAGAAGCTGCTAACAACTGAAGGAAATAAGCACTAACGAGCAACTTTTGAGTAACGTGGATGAAACTGGGTGAGACTCTATCCTCTCTTTATAACTTTAAGACTTTTTCCTGGAATAAAGGAGGCTATTTAATTAATATAAATGGGCTGAGTGTTCTTCCAAAAATACTTCAATCAAATTGTATTTCTTACTTCAACCATATACACAAAAATAGGGGAAGAACTACTTGAGGACTCAAATGCATTGACTTGGAAAGTTAATTGGTAAAGGAAGAAAGCCAGAGTAAGAATGAAGAAAATAGAGGTTTTTGTCCCATTAGAGGGGATATTATATTATTAAATAGATGTTTGAACATGGCTAGGAGAATAGATAATTGTTAGAAATAAAAGTATTACTATAACTAGAAAGATAGGATATGCAACTAGAATACTATATTTTGGTATGAGAAGGGAAATATGAAAATGCCAAGAGGGTCTGAATAAGGGAAAGTTTTGGTTACCCAAATATAATTATGAGAAAATTATAAGCGATAGAGATGGGATATTATATTATTAAACAGGTGTTTGAATATGGTTAAGAAAATAGATAACTGTGAGAAATAAAAGTATTATTATAACTAGAAGGATAGGATTTCTAACAAGAATATTACATTTTGTAATGAGATGGGAAATATGAGAATTCTAAAAGGGTTTGAAAAAGGAAAGCTTTTGGTTACCCAAATATAATATATTATGAGAAAATTATAAGTGATAGAGATATTTTGAACATTGATGGGAATTTAAAAAAAAAAGCACCAAAAACAGGATATTGATGGAACAAATGGATTTTAAGTGCAAATGCAACTGCATTTTGGCTAGAAAAGATATTATAAACTGACATTATTGATATTATGTATAATACCAGAAAAATGTGATAAAGATGTCTATATTTAATTATGTATGTATTAACAGTAACAAGAATTGTATTTGCCCAGTGTGGAAAATGCCACCACAGGAAGAAGAGAGGATCAAAGAAGCACTGGATGGTCTAGTATTGGAACTAGACTGAGAAAGTTAATATGTACCACTGAATTACCAATGGACCCAGACAACACGTTGTTTATTAAATATTTATGATGGTAAAATTAGAAAATAAAATGTTTACAAAAAAAAAGAGTTTTAAATCCTTAAGTCCTTCCCTGGATTTCCCTCAAGGCAGCTTGCCATCATTAAGAGGGCAGATTTCCAAAACAACGAAATTAGCCTTAATAGAGAAAGCTGCATGAACCAAGCAAACAAATGAGATTAAGTTTAAATCCTGACAAGACTAATAGGACTTTCCTAGCATATTTATCAATTTTTGATACTGCTCAGGCCCATACTAACAGTACCTGTGTTTGCCCTCTAAAGGTAATAGCTCTACTTCAAAGGAAGGAGTGGCGGTGTAAAACTGAGTACAAATGCATCTGTCTTGCCCAGATCATCTACAGACTGCCCTGGCTTTTCTAATGCAGTTTTTTTTTAGATGTGTTGGATTTCAATTCCCATAATCCTAAACCATAATGACCTTCTATTACCGTAGCTGAAATCCAACACATCCAAAGGGAATCAGGCTCACAAAAGCTATTAGAAGGTAACAACCTTCCACTTTTTAAGGTGTATAATAAAGAAACAACCAGAACAAAGATCTTTAAGGTTTACTTGCTAAATTAGCCAATTCTACCTGAATAAATACAAATGACTCATAAATGATTAGGAAAATAGTCCTTCACGGACTTCATACTTGGAGCCATAAAGGGCCTTGCATATCCCAAAGATACCAAAAATAATGCTGCTGAGAGGCTACATATTCTCATAAAGGTCATCCATTGTAAATAGGCCATATCCAAAGGGCTAGATTAAAGGAGGAACAACAGATCTCCTACTGTAGAAATCACAGGGAAAACATGAGTAGGTGTCCTTATTACTAAAACGGTACCAAAGTCAATGTAGTTAGTAAAGTTAGTGTAGTAATGTTAGTTTATTTTTAAGCATGACTAAACGATAGAAAGTTTTCAACTCCAAGACAAGCCATTCAACATTTCAGGGATCCGCGTCTATGCTTCAACCACAGATACAGTTGATATGATTAAGTCTAAGCCAACTTGCAACATCGACTTGACCCCACATCTAAAAAAGGTAAATTAAGTATAGACTAAAGCAGTATCATTACACTAACAATAATAAGAACAGTTGGCACCGGGTACACAAAACCAAGCAGGAGACTGACTTAACAGATTTTTGCCAAGAAAATCCAGCATTCATAACAAATACCTGTAATGTTCTATATAATTATGTGGTGAACATAACGAATAAATGTCATAGGTTGGATTTTCTAATCATGCCTGAGGAACTGAGGACTGAAATTCATGACATCATTAAATATGAAGCATACAGATAGTCCTCACTAAATGACCACTTATTCCGCCACCTCCAGATGACCTTTGCCATCTTCTTCCTCCTGCTGCTGACCAGGTGTGATCCGCCTGGCCCTTCACAAGGCAGCTGCTGGCTGCAGAAGGCCTTTTTCCAAAGGCCACACACGACCTTCCTGAATGCCTTCCAGGGTCAGCAACTGTTTAACGAAGGGCCAGGCTGGGTGCACCTCATCAGCAACAGCAGAAAAGGGCAAATGTCAGCTGGGAACAGCAGAAACAGCAAAGTGGAGCTTTCATTCCCTCCTGGCTGTACTCACTGGGCCGCCACAGCCATTTTCCCACCTGCCAGCCTGCTTGTGAGTTGCTGAGAACTCGCAACTTCCTAACAGCATCCCCAGTGACTTTGCTTATTGGAAGCCACAACTTGTGAGGAGATCCTTGCTTAACAACCTGCAAATCTCACTTAAACAAAGGCAATGGACCTAGCTATTTGCAAGACCGCCTCCTACCAAATACCTCCCTTCGACCAGTCCGCTCCCACAGAGAGGGCCTCCTTAGGGTGCCGTTGGCCAGTCAATGCCGGCTGGCGACCCCCAGGGGGAGAGCCTTCTCTGTGGCAGCTCCTGCCCTCTGGAATGACCTACCCCCCCGACCTACGTACAACTGCGGACCTGCGCCTCTTTCGCCGAGCCTTGAAAACCCATCTATTCCATGTGGCCGGCCTGGCGTAGTTTTGATTGTGTTTTGGTAGGGGTTTTTATAGGGGGTATTTTAGAGCAGGCTTTTTATTTAATATTTATTGTGATTTTTATTATCGCCTGTTCACCGCCCTGAGTCCCGTAAGGGAGATAGGGCGGTATATAAATTTAAATAATAAATAAATAAATGGAGACTGTTGCCATTGCTACACAACGTGGTCATGTGATGTTCCCTTTCATGACAGCATCACTTAGAAACGAAAAGTCCGATTCCAGTTATGAATGGTATCAAAAGCTGCTGAGAGATCAAGGAGCAAAAGGATGGCTACACCACTCCAATCCCAGCTCCACCACAGGCCATCCACAAACATGAGCAAAATTGTCTCTACATTAAACCCCAGTCTGAAAGCCAATCGAAATGAGTCCAAATAATCTGCTTTCTCCAGGCCCTCTGGAGCTAAAGACAAGATAGATCTGCATGTGGATTAGAGAACAAACAAAAGTATACGATATCCTCAAGCGGGTAAAAGAATTGAAATGGAAATGGGCCAGTCACATAGCAAGAAGAACTGATGGCATGTGGACTAAGGCAGTCATAGAATGGATCCCGCTTGATAAAAAGAGAGACCTAAAACAAGATGGAGCGACGACATTAGCAAGTATTGCGGGCCCAACTGGCAAAAGAAAGCTCAGGAGTGTATAGGTTGGAAACATGTGGAAGAGGCCTTCATCCTACAGTGGATAGACAATGGCTAAAAATGAATAAAATGAATAATTATATTCTTCTGGTCAACTAAACAGAACACAAAATGGACCTGCAAAGGTGAATTTTAATGTATGAAAGTTTACACCATGATAAATTTGACAGCTGTTAAGGTATCAGCAGATATTATTAGCGACGCTAATGATTACTGTTATTAATAATTGTATTTGTTTTGCATATTTCCTTTCATGACCCACTAACGTCCCAGATAACTAAAGCAATGATCCCATTGGATAAATTAGATTCAAAAAAGGCCAAGAGGCCCGACTCACACAAGAAGTTTCACCAGGTCAGCAAGTGACTGAACTGGCAATATTGTACAGTGAACAATCATAAGTAAGTTGTGTTTTGTGTGTCGGGTGTTGTGAAACCCAGAAAACGGGGTAACTGCAGACCCTAAACGTAGGGGGGGGGGGGTTTTCCAAAGCATTATTTAAAATTTGAAAACGATCGGGTTTTTTCATTAAAACAAATGCCATCCGTTAAAGCAGAACTTGCAGGACCTGTCGGTTTTTGAAGACCTCAGATTCCCCTGTACGATCTCCATAACTGGATTGCTTATTTGTAATGCATTTTTTCAGGGGATAGGGGGGGAAAGAAACGTTACACCAAAGGAAAAAAACAAATCGCAGCGGGGGAGACTAGCGAGAAAACAAGCGTGTGTGCGTGTGTGCGTGAGAAAGAGAGGTCCAAGAGGAACATTTTTTTTTCCCACGGCCTCTCCAAGGTTTTAGCACGCCCCGGTTAACTCAAGAACGAAGCGCGCTGCCTCAGGGCGGCTGGTGGGCTCAGTGGCTAAGGGGGGATTCGGGGCTCGGCTCTCCCAGGCAAGGCCTTGAGAAGCCCTCCCCGCCACGGAGCGCGAGTCGGTCGCGTTTGTCTCGGGCTGCCCCAGCCTGGTTTCGCGCAAGCTCGCTGCAAACGGAGCCAGACACCGGGCACCTTTTGCAAGCCTCGGACGCGGCCCGCCTCCCTCCTCCTCGGCCTACTTTCCAGTAGAAGACGCCCAGCTGGCTCAGCTGCTCGAGGCTGACCGGCCGGTCCGGCTCTGGGCGATGCGGCTTCCGGGGGTCCTCCCGGGAATCGTCCATATGCCAAGCCTCCACCATCGTCCCCTGCCACCGAGGTTCAGCTCCCGACTCCCGCGCCGCCTCCGAACCAGGGCCGAAGGGAGACGCCTCCCCGGCCCGCCCCTCGCCGCCCGCAAGGACGCCCTGCCGGTTTTCCTGGCCTGGAGCTGGCGCGCTACATCCGCCAGGACTCCCGGACCTAAACTCGGGACGACTTAACTTCCAAGGACGGTAAACGAAAGTCAAGATTCCCCTCCAGGGCTTTTGCAGAAGAAGGCAGAGCCCAGGCATTTGCAATGGGGAAGCAGCGCAGGGCTTTCCGTCCGTGCCTAAACACAGTTGCAAGTCCGGGTTTGAGCATTTCGGATCATTTCACTCACACACACCCGCCGCAACATCCCATCGCGAGTTGTGTTGTTTGGCCTTCTCCTTTGTGAGGTCTGCTGCGGGAGGGGAGGGCTGGGAGGGGTTCACCTCATGAGGCGTGTTACCTCCTTGCAATTGCTTCTTTTGAGGGTTCCTTGAAAACGGGTAGTCCTCAACTTACGGCCACAATTGAGCCCAAAATTTCTGTTGCTAAGTGAGACCATTCTTAAGTGAATGTCTGTGGAGATGCTCAATCATCCAGGTCATGGTTGTCTCAAAGGTGCTTTTTCAAGAGGCAACTGGACTTTCTCGTTTTTCTTTGAAGACGTTTTTGCTTCTCATCTAAGGAGCTTCTTCTTCAGAAGAGCTGAAGAAGTTTCTTGGATGAAAAACGAAATGTCTTCAAAGAAAAACGAGGAAGTCCAGTTGCCTCTTGAAAAAGCACCTTTGGGACAATTGTTAAGTGAATTTTACAACCTCTCTTGTCATAGTTGGTAAATGAATCACTGCAGTTGTTAAGGTAGTTACGTGGTTGTTACCTGAATCTGCCTTCCCTGTTGACTGGTTGTCAGAAGGTCACAAAGGATGATCACAGGACCCCGGGACACTGCAACCGTCATTATTATGAGTCAATTGCCAAGCATCTGAATTTTAATCATGTGACCAATGCAGATGTTGCAATGGTCGTAAGTGTGAAAAATGGTCAGAAGTCACTTTTTTTCAGTGCCGTTGCAACTTTGGCCACTAAATGAACTGTTGTAACTCAAGGTCTACATGTAATTTTTTTTTTTTTAAATCAGAATGAAGCAAGCAGAACTGGGCACAGTTATATATGATTACCCAATCATATATGATACCTGGCCATGAGAGGTATCATTCGCCAGGTCTCTCCCAGCTAACAGGTTTCCCCATCTGGCAAAGCAAAATTCCAGTGGAAGCTCTCAGGCAAGGAGAGGGGAAAAAAGAAATGCTTGGAAAAAGTTTTCTCTGATGCAAAAAGAGACAGCACCAGGCACTGGACGAGGGAGACTTCTAAGCCCCAAGAAAAAGATTTTTCTTTCCCAAAAGATGGAGAGACATTTAGTTCCTTTCTTCCTGGGAAAGAACTGAATAGCAGAAGGTAAGGGATGAAGGAAGAATGTAGGCTGTTTAAATTAGTGAAGGGCACAAAATGCATTTTGAAAGTCTTCCACAACTGTTTGTTGAGGGCAATTCTTGCAAAATTCTCCAGGGCAGAAAAGAGTTCCCTAATAATTTCTCAACAGCAGGATTCCCCCTTGAGTGCTAAGAGTACCAACTCTACTGAAAAAGCCTCTTGGGAAGCATTCCACGTAGTGGCTTCCCTTGGGAATTCAGAGATGTGTGCACCACAATGGAGTTGCAAACTATTGGAAAGACAAATGGACAATGGACTGTAGGATGATCAAACATAGTCCTTGGCCCCTTGGATGGACAACTTTTGAGCAGATGTGGATCCCAACCCAACCTCCCAACCTTTTGGATTACTAAAGGAAGCAATAAGGGTGTGGCTGAAAATATTCAGCATGTTGGACAGCACCACTTGAGAATGGAGAATGGCTTTAAACGGGCAACCCTTTCCCATTTTTGTTCTTCAAACCATCCATCCCAGGAACCCAAAATCATACCTGGAAATTACGGCAAAATCACTGAACTTCAGCAAAGTCTTTTTTTGACTGTTTGGGAAGGTTACAACTAGGTCATAGTTATCCCAAAGATGCTTTTTCATGAGGCAACTGAACTTTGTTTTTCTTTGAAGATGTTTTGCTTCTCTTCCAAGAAGCTTCTTCAGCTCTGAGAAGCGAAACGTCTTCAAAGAAAAACAAGAAAATCCAGTTGCCTTGTGAAAAAGCATCTTTGATTCAAGTGATATACTATACTCTCGGGATGCTGAGGGCTGCATGCCTTCTTCGGTTGCTCTTCCCTCCCATGACTATTGAGGATGTGCAGGAGAATTTCTTGCTGATACTATTTCAAGCCTTTTGGGTGAACACTTTTAACAAAAGAATAAATGGAGCAAACAGATTCTAAGAAAAGCAACAAGAATAATCAGGGAACTGGAAATTAAATCTCATACTGGGGGAACTGAGTCTATTTAACCTTGAGAAAAAATGACTGAGCAAAAAGATGCAAAAGTACTTTCAAGTACCTGAAGGGGCATTACACAGAAGAAAAGCAAGACCTGTGGTTGTTGTTGTTTTTTCGTTTCAGAATGAGAGTATGGAATAATGGATTTAAATTATAGGAAAGCCTTCTGACTAAATGTTAGGGAAAGACTAAGAAAGCAGTTCCACAGAGGGATCAATTACTCAGAGGGGATGAAAATCAAAATGCATCTGGTGAAATGAGCTGCAGTTCGTAAATGCTTCTGCTTTTTAATAAAATTAGTTAACATGAAAAGATGGCACCAGATTCTTGAGTCTTGGCTACCGCAGAGCAACACAGCTGTCTTCCTACCTGATGGTAGATATGTTTAAGCATACGCATATGTAAAGACCTATCTCTCTGGAGAAGCGATGGTGCTAGAGAAGGTGGGAGGAAAGAGAAAAGGTGACCAGGAGCAAGGTGGATGGACTCAGTTACCATGGCAAGGATGCACTTTTGGAAGACCTGAAGTGCCAGGTAAGGGACAAGGTTAGAAGCCCTTCTTCAAGGGACTGAAAACACAATGTAACAGTACAGAAAATACTTTACCCATTATGTACTCCCACCCTATTTCTGTTCTTAGCCAATCTTGAACAAAACTTGGAAATCCTTGAATCTCCACAAGGCACATTTCCGTTACAACTAGGACTTCTTAAATATGTTCAGGGAGGGAGATTCATTTTGGGGCATCCATAGTAGGAAATAAACTCTGCTTCATTCTGTGAGGCTTTCTTCTGATTGAGTTGACGCACTATATTCCCTATTCCCCAATAGTTACGTACAATAGAAGCTAAGGTCTGCAACCTTTAAGTGCTGCAGGCTTTCACAGTGAAAGCAAGGCTGGAGGCTATAAGCAGGCCAAGAGACAGAAGCCGGGTTGCTGTGATGCCAGAGGACGAGATCGGATTGCATCCCTTCGCGGAGGAGAATGGTGCATGTCAATGTTTGTGTCTGTTTGATTCCACTTCAGATAAGCAGCCAAGCAGAAAGCTTGTTTTCATCTTGGGTCTCTTTCCAGAGGAAAACTTGGGTAGCATTATCGCCTTTTCATCTAGCAGGGAAGAAATGGAGCATGTTGCCATTCTGTGTAGAACCCCAAGAATTTATTGTGCTTAAGGCTCAAGCCACAGACACACGCTTCGCCTTGAACATTAAATTCCAGACAGACACCGCTCACAGCTGGAGCCTAAGGAAACACCAAATGTTGCGTCTTCGTTGTGTTTGCTTCTTTCTCAATTATTTTTAATTTAGCTCCCCTCTTGCTCATGGAGTTCCAAGCATATGCCAAGCACAGCTTGCCACGTATCAAATGGTTTTTAGTTTGCTGGTGCATCCAAAACTGACACAGGGCAGGATCAGAAGCAATCAGCAGGATTTTTCTAAACTTGGCTGCTCTCACGAATGCCTCCAGGCCTGCATTTTCTCCAGCTCCCAGGACTGCAGGAAATGCACCTCACGAAGTGCTCCAGCAAATCAATTCTGAGTCAGATGCTGCTCTCAATACCCCCCTCAGTCCCTCTAGGCAAAACTGAAGGAATTTCTTCTAAGCTAAGCAGGCCAGTGGGCTGTCTGGAAAAGACAGATAGGCAGAGAGAAAATGAGTTCTAAAGGTGCAGGTAATGGAAGACTTTGTTAAATGGCTCAGCTCTTGCTGGAAGACGGGATTGAGTAGCTGAGCAACAGCTGTCGGCATTAGGCTATCTGATTTTTCTTCTAGTCTCGTAGCTCGAGCGATGAAAGTTAAATGGTGCAAGCAGTAAGACTTTTAGGCCAAGAGTTTTAGAAATATAAATATTATTTGAAATTTAGCTTTCACAAGATCCAGAATCTTACAGCTGTTGTGAAAATTGATGCACTTATCACGGCATCAGCTTTTGGGGTCTAAAGTCCATGATATAATGTGCCTGAGAGTTAACAGGTAAATAGGTGATTGCCAATGATGCCTATTCTCGAATAAAATGGAGACTTTGGTGGAATGAATTTCCTTCTTTTCCCCACATCTCCCATATATCTGTCCAAAAATGGCTCCAAACTATAAGGGAAATAGTTGGAACAGATACAGGTACAAGATCAAGAGAAGTAATCATTTATTTCTATTCTATATGATCAGATTTCACTTAGACTATAGGTAGTTCTGGACTTATTGGGACACAATTGAGCATCCACTGGGCGGTGGGAATTGCTGGCGAGTGCACGCACTCTCCCCCCTCTCACGCTAGCGCCGCAATGAGGGGCTAGCCGCCACGTGGGCATTAGCGGCCCATTTGTGCATGCGCGTGGAGGCTAGCATTGCCTCCTTTTCCCTCCTGGCTGCCAAATGGGAAAGATTGAGGACCTCTGTTCTAGAAGACAGAAACAATGGTCAGAGTTACAATGGAATACATTTTGCTTGGGCATCAGTAACAATTTCATACTGATAAATCCTGTACAACAATGCAACAGGCTGTCTGAAGAGGTGATGAACCCTACTTGACTCAAGGCTCAAATAGGCTGAATGGCCATCCATTGGTGATTCCAAAGAAGTGGATCCCTGTCCTGAAATTGGAATAGAT